CTTAGAGGAGGAGAGAAACCTGGACACAAACACAAATGGGAAGTTGCCCATGTAAAGACAGAGATAGAGACTGGAGATGTTGCCTCCACAGATGAAGGAATGCCAAGACTGGAGGCAATCACCAGATGCTAAGAAGAAGAGATACTGGAGTGTCTGCAGAGAGTATCATCTCGTCAACTTAATGTCAGACTTCTGGCTTGCTGAGCTTTGAAAGACTACATTTCTGTTGTATGAAAATCATAGCGTTAAAATCACTTGTTTTAAAATCATAGTTGGTGGCTGCCATCCCAAGCTCCTAGGGCAGAGAAGCTGAGCTGGTCCCAGCACCCAGAAGGAAGCTTCTCTGCCACCAGCCCAAGCTCCTAGGGCAGAGAAGGTGAGCTGCACAGGTACCAGAAGCACCCCTGCCCTAAGTGGAAATGAGAAGACATGTAAACAAGCCACAAAAACAGACTTCTGGATCACCTGCAGCAACCCCAAAGGGAAACGAGATGGAACAATCTGATACTCAACCGCCTGGACTCTTTCTGAACTGGCAACAAAAGAGGATCTGGGAAAAATGAAATCAGAAATACTTACTCAGATAACAGCAAAGATTGTGCTCATGGTGCAAGACATGATTAATAAATCTAGAGAGGACACAGATAAAAAAATAGAGGATCTGAGGAACATGATGGAATCCCAACACAGGAAACAAATGGAATCCATAAAACAGATGTAAACAGATTTCCAGCAGATTAAAAACTCCATCGAAAGTCTATGCAGCAGAATGAACCAGTGTGAGGATAGAATTTCACATATAGAAGATAAGTTTGCAATTAATGACCAGGAAAAGAAAAATTGCTTTAAAATTGTAAAGAAACACGAGAAATCAATCCAGCAGCTGCTACACGATGCAAAGAAGAATAACATAAGACGGATTGGAGTCAATGAAGAAAGAGGAGAGAGTGCAGATGACATAAAAAAAAATGTTCACAGAAGTGATGGCAGAAAATTTCCCAAGCAGGGGGAAAGAACCTGACATACAGGTAAGTGAGGCATATAGGACTCCAGCTAGCCTTGATCAAAAAAAATCTACACATAGGCATATAATAGTTAGGATTCCAGAAATCCAACAGAAGAACAAAATTTTACAAGCAGTGAAAGAAAAGAAACAAATCACATACAAAGGAAAGCCCATCAGAATCAAAGCAGACTTCTCGATGCAAACCCTCAAGGCAAGAAGAGCTTGGATTGATGTATTTCAAGCCCTAAAGGAAAACAGCCTCCAACCCAGATTGATGTACCCTGAAAAACTATCTTTCAAAATTGATGGAGAAATAAGATACTTTCATGATAAAGAGCACCTCAGGAACTTCATGAATACCAAACCGGCACTCCAAAAAATTTTAGACAATACCCTAGGAAAAGACAATGAGGATCACAACCCCAGGAAACCCAGCAGAATGAATCCATTGGGGTGACAAATTAAATGCAAAGGCACGGGGTGGGGGGGAGAATCCAACAAAAAGAAAAAGCCATGACAAGGCTTTTATAACTTTTGACTTCATCTCCCTAATGAGTATATAATTCAATCTTGTTATTGTACTGATTAGTATTTTTCTGATTCTAGCGTTGCACACCTTTCCTTGTGCTATACTGGCTATTTATCATCTTCTTATGTCTACATTTTAATTGGGTTGTCTATTAATGAGCTCTAAGAATTCTTTATACATTCTGCTCATAGGTTATATGCATTGTAAATATGGTCTGTTTAAGGACTACTTTTCATTTTAATGATGTCATTTGAAGTTCTAAATTTTGATGGAATCTCATTTATCAATTTTTTTCTTTTATACATCGTGTCTTTTGAATCCTAGGTAGTTCTTGCCTACACTGAATTCATAAACATTTTCCCTTATAATTTCTTCTTAAAGTTTTATGCTTTTAGGCTTTCATATTTATGTTCATAGATCCTTCAAGTTATTTTCATGTATGGAAATAAAGGGTTGAGGTTAATTTTTTATATACGGATACCGGGTGTTCTAGTGCCATTTGCTGAAAACACTATCTTTTTCTCGGCTCTTGAATTGAGTTTATATTCTATAAAATGCTAATGTTAAATAATCTTTCAAAACTCAGGGCACCATATATATGTGGTTCTATTTCTAGAGTCTCTGTTTTATTCCAATGATCTATATGTCTTTCCTTATACCAACACTGCCTTGATTACCGTAGCTTTAGAAGAAGTCTTAAAATTAGGTACTAAATGTCTTCTAACACTGTTTTTGTTTTTGTTTTTGTTTTAACTTGTCTAGGTCCTTCATACTCCTACATAACTTTTAAATTTCAATATCCAATTCTTCATTTATAGCAAGTATACACAGACCTGAATTTTTATATATACTTTGTGTTTTCTAATCCTGCTAAATTCAAATACAAGTTCTAGGAGCTCCCAGAGATTTCTTAGTATTTTCTCTGTAGATGATCATTTCATCTACATATAAGGATTTTGCTTCTGCCTTGCCAATCCTATCCTAGTTGTGTCATTTTATTGCCAGACTATTTTGTTGGGGCCTAGGTTTCAAAATTTAATGGACCGATAAAGAGTAAGCATATCTGCCCTTTTTCCCCATCTTAAGGAGAAAGCATTGTATCTTCTCCATTCTTATAAGGCGTTCTCCCTGGAAGTGTGGAGAGCATGGCTTTAATCTGTTGAGAAGGTTCTGTTCTACTTCTAGTCTCCTGATAGCTTTTACCATGAACAGCTGTGGAATTTAGTCCAATACTTTTTCTCCAACTAGTGACAATATCATATGGCTTTTTCCTTTCCTCTGTTAAAATGATGACTTTTGGGGGTGGATCTTCAAATGCTGAACCAACACTCCCATCCCTATAACAAAACCACTTTCTACATATTGCCAGATCTGACTTCTAATAGTTTGTTTGTTAAACAAATTTCTATCTAAGTTCATATTTTTTCTTCTATTATCTTTATCCAGTTTTAGGATTAGCACAATGTTGAGTTCCTAAAATTAGGGGAGAAATGTTCCTTCTTTTTTCTGCTTTAAATGTTTGATATAATTTATCAGTTAAAATGTATATGAGCCTGCTGTTGTCATATAGGTAGGTTTTCAAACTAGGACTATACTTTCTTTAATAGGTGCTATTCAAATTTTATATTTCCTCCAGAGTTAGTTTCATTAATTTGTCTTCCAAGGTACTTCTTAGAAGTTGTCAAATTTATTTCAAAAAAGATTTTTGTAATATGCTTTCTATATACTTTTAAATTCTGTAAAATCTGTGGTAATGTCTCCTAGATCTTAATATTGTAATTTTAAACATGAATAATTGATATTGTAAAATAGGAAGAAAAGGTCTAAAGGAGCAGGAGAAGTGGGGGAGGGGGAAGGGAAAAGGAAAAAAGGGAAAAGAAAAAATGTGAGAAAAGGAAAAAAATGGAAACAAATTCTTTGCAAATAAGGAAGGGTGGAGAGGGTGAACGGAGGGCAGGGGAAGGGGAAAAAATAAGAACCAGGATACTCATGTAATAGTACAAGATCCCAATGATGAATGTATTTTATACCTAAAATGTACCAATAAACTTAATGGGGAGAAAAAAGTCATAGTTTTTGATACTTTGTTACAATAGCCAAGGAAACCAAAACAAGAGGAGACAAAGTTATTATTATTGACTGAATAATATTATTATTATTGATTATCCCTCAGGTCATTTAAAAGAGCATGAAGATATTAAAGAAGAAGGGAAATTTAGAGTTTTATGATGTCAGATTAATAGACAAATAGAAATTATTGTATATTAATAAAAATTGTATAATGTAATAATGACAAAGTAATAATACAAAAAAATCTACAATTGGTACCAAAAACTCTGAAGTACCTAGAAATAAGTTTTTATGTTTTAAATGCTCAAAATCATCATAAAAATACATATAAAGTTTAATGAAAGAAAAATGAAACAATGATTATATCTTGTTAATGAAGTTCTAATCAAAATTATAAATACTTTTTACAGAATTTAACAAGTATATCTAAAAACCATTCTAAGAGTAAGAAGAAGCTGGCAGTATTTCAAAAAGATAGGATCCACGCTTTTTTTTTTAAGTAAAATGAGGCTTTATTGTGTCTCAATAACTTTACATTATTTTTTTTTGCTTAAGTTCTTTTATTGGTGCATTTTAAGTATACAATTCATTTACATTTATCATTGGGTGTTTGTACCTGTACATGATGAATCTTGGTTCTTATTTTTTCCCCATTACCTGTGTACCCTTCCCTATTTACATAGACTTTGTTTCCATTTTTTCCTTTTCTCATAATTTTCCCTATCCCTTCACACTTTTTAATATCAAGAATTTCCCTAAGTCTCTATAGAGCTTAATGCTATCACTTGTCTACAAAAGAAAAAGAAAAAAAGCCATAGAGATATAAAAATATATCATAAACAAGAATCTGTAATTTTATCTCATTGTAGATTTGATCATATATATATACATGGAAATAACTTTATTTTGAATCCCTGTTTAGAGCCAATGTAAAGGGATAATTATGCATATAAAGGTCTTTCATCATTCTCTTGTGTTGATTAGATGATGAAAACATCAGGCTGGTAAGATGTTAATTATAGGCCCAAGTAATAATTTAATACATCAGAGAAAAGTGTGGAATTCTGAAAACAAGTTTTGCCATTTCTGGACACCTGAAGTTAAGCACTGCTTTCAGAAGTGCCCGGCACTTTCCTAAGTATATGCTGCGAGCTTAACTGGCAAGATAAGGTAACTAAAGCTGGACCCCTCCCTTGGAACATGGATGGTGCAATGCAGATTCTATCTTTGTCAAGTAAACAGAGCTAACGTGAAAAAGCAAATCACATGGTCCTTTACGGTCAGTAATTCTTTCCTCAATTAAATAAAAAATATATTTGCATATGCTCCATTTACCTCAAGTTCATTTTAATATTAATACCGTGTCAACCTGCAAAAAAATATTTAATGACTTACAACATCAGGCATCCTTCAACATCACAGACACCACTGAGGAGTGTCCTTTCAGAAGCACTGTGAGGCGACATAGATACGCAATTTTCACAGTTGAGGAAACCTGAATGGTCAAAAGAAGAAAGAAGCTTATTCATGGGCTCATGGTGAGGTAGAAGCAAAATCTACATAAGAATAGAAAGTTCCTGAAGAGCTGCACCTGTCTGGACAGTGAAATTGCATCCTCACTTCCATTTGAAAATAATCCCTGCCCCACTGAGGTATGTGGGCTACACATTCATTTTCTCTTACTTGAACTCATTTTGGTTATTATGTGAAAGTTATGAATCCAGTTTTTTTTTTATTTCTTATATTCTAGAACTAAAAGATAAATTAGACAATTTTTCTTCTCCCAGGGAAGGAGGAGAAACCAATAGATATCTTAATTATCTTTAAAACACCTCTCCCCCAAAATGTAATATGTGGAGTCTTTTGTCTGGTTAGGCAAGTTGATTTTTTTTTTTAACCAAAAATGTTGTCAGTAAAAGGAAGAAAATTATTGAACACTACTAACCATGAAATTGAATTCCCTATTTTTCTAAGTTCACATTTCTAATATAAAGACCATTCATAAATATGAATATCTACCTCAAGTCCTATTGAGTATAAAATATCTTAATGCCTGATCTTTTATCTCCTGGAATTAAATAGCATTATCACAAACAGAGTTAACAATTATGTTTACTAATAAATTTTGTTTTATTTGGTAAAAATATACTGAGTAAAAGATGGAGTAGGGAAAGAAAGGTTTCCTTTTAATTATTTTAATATTTTAACTTGTAAGAAACTTGCATGAAAGTAACACAACATATGTATTTACCTGACAGAAATCTTTCACTTTGAGTTTTATGATCATCATGATCAAATATTAACCAGCTCCTCTTTGAAGAGACACAAAGAGGACAGGGAATTTGTCCAAGCAGTTAAGAGACAAGAAAATAATAACTAAGTGAGCAAAGTTTGTTTGTTTTTGTGTATTGGCTTGTTTAGTACTCCCTGCTTGTAAAGTCGAACAGTCAATGAGTAGCTAAAATTGCATACTTATTTCCAGAATGTGAAGTTACAGATTCTCGGGCAGTTCCTCTGAATCAATTATCCCAACACAATATGATCACTAGAATGCTGTTTCTTTGGGTTAAAAGTCATCCCAGGGAGCAGAGTGCTGTGGAGAGAAATATACTTCATGCGAATTGTATTAGTGTATATTTTCAAATATGAAAACCAGTGACAACGTAATAGAAACTTTACAAATCCAAAAAGGATAATGGACAGACATGTACCACAAATGCTTGCTTTGGAATTTATAGGAATAAATCTAAAGCATCTACTCTAGTGCATATTAAACTTTTATCAGTTCATAGTCCCAGCACATGAGGATAAAACTCTTTTTTAACTGGATAATATATGCTAAAATGCACATCGTTCAGGTCAAGGTAGCAATGATCTCCTGGCTTCTGTGCTCTAGTAGACCGATGGGCATTTGTCCATTTTGAACTTAAGCACTAATATTTTGACCACAAAGCAATGTTTTTATCATTCTGAAAATGCAGTATGATACATGCAAGTGTGGGTCATCTTAGCTTTGAGTAAGGATTTGTATTTTTTCTATTTACCATTTATTATGTTGATTGAGATGATCAAATTAGCGAAATACATCTGAAGTAACTTATCTCTTTTGGTCTTGGGTGTTCCTTACTGTTATTTTCTTAGCTCCTTTTTTACCAGGAGGTAACAAATGATCGAACAAATCACCAATACCCGTATATTTGCTCTTCCCTTCGTTAAAATTTTAACCCTCTCTGTAATTTGTACTGAAGTAGAGAGGGCTCTGTCATAAACGGGTTGTGCCTGCCTGGTGCCAGGGTTCTTTTGTGATGAGAAGTGAACGACTGAGGTAAAGAAAAGACTCTTAAACCACAGCTAGAGGAGGTGGCAGACACGAAAAGAGAGTGGAGTTTTTCAGCATTTCTGCTCTGTCCCGCGATCTTTACCGTTATTGTCCTTAGCGTAGCTTCCTGGGCTACACATACCTGTAGTGCGAATTACCTACACAATTTCTCTTTTTGTAAGCAGTAAGTCATGAATTTATTATTTTTGAAAGCTTGAATCTCTTCTTTATCCTATATATTTGCCTTACAAATTCTTACTTATTGCCATTGGACTTTAGAGCAGTTTCAGTAATTGTTTTACTTCCTGGAAACTGAAGACTTTATATCATACTTTCAAGAGAGAACACATCACTATATGTAAGATAAACAGTATCTTTAAAAATAAGCATTCAGAACAAAATATTTATTTGACTTCAGGCTTTCAGATATACAAAATATAATTCCTTGGTTCTTAAAGAGAAATTACCATTATGAGGCTGAGAAATCAGTTACATTCAGAATGGGTCATCCTGTCTCCTGAAATCATTTTATTTGGCAATCTTCCAGAACCTCTGATTTTCATCATGAAAAGTGCTTTAGTTGGGCTGAGCACAGCACCCTGGGGAATCCTTAATCAGCGTTACAATCATGGACATGTAATGTAACCATTTTTGGTAGTTGACACATGAATGAGTAACTGAACTACGTTGTAACCTTAATACGCGGCTGAGCAAAAGCTGAAGTCACACTGGGGCGACACGCAAAGACTCTCTCCCTGGTGAGCCATTTTCAGGAAGAGAAGAGCTTACCTGAGTGACTACCTGTCTGTGGGATGCTGCTGCATGTTTCATTGCAGGAAGGAGGAAAATGAGAATGAATGTAGACCCACCCACACCCAGTACTGACTCACACTGTTTGGATTACAAAGAAATAAACCTTACTCATCTTTGAGCATGAGCATTTGCCACAGTGTAAGACTCATGCCAGAGAAATAATCACTGTTTGTTGAGTGAATGATGAATACATGAATGAAATAATGTAAGTTTAACTTAAGGAATTCCTGGCACTCTGTTAGACATTTTGCGTTTGTTTTATGTAGGCAATAATATTTGCAAATGTGCTAGTTTTTTCTTCATAGTACCTTTTTTAAAAAGGAGGAAACAAGGCAGGAGTAGAAAGACAAAGCCAGCTGGGAACTATTTACAATATTTTCAGACATTTCATGTAAATCTTTACCAAGGGATTCTTCACTGGGAGATAAAGTTGGATGGTCAAGGTCACAGGAAGGCCCAGACATGGCAAAGAGTGGAGAGAGACTTGGGCATTTGAGTGGAAAACAGCATCAGTGAAGAGGAGAGAGAGAATTAAAAAATGATTTATTGCTTTTTATCCAAATAATAGATCGATCCAATTTAAAAATCACCTCCATATAGGTAACAACAACAACAAGAAGAGCTGCACATGTATGACTTCGTTTTCTTTCAGCTGCAGGCTGTGCTCAATACAGCAGCACAGAGCAGCATAGATACATAATAAACCAATTGAAATACTAAAAGGGTTGCGTTGGCTGTACTTATCTGGATTTCAATTAAGTATTTCATCGTAAGAAAGACTCTTGTCTGTGGCAATAGCATTGTTTGTTGAGTCTCCTGGTTTCTGGTCTTCAGTGTCTGAGTGCGGTGGAAATAGCATACACTACACCTCTGATCCATTGTGTGATTCCTCCTACCTGTAGTTCATTCATTCTCAGAGCCCAGTGAATGCTGGGTAGTTGTTTTGGAGAAAGAGAAATGGAAGACAAATTCTCTGACTTCAACATTTTTATGGGGATGGGTGACAGAAAGTGATGGTGATGGTGGGAAAGAGAAATCTGTGAACACAGAAAACATGTGGTCAAGATTCAATACATGCCAGAAGAAAAGTAAAGTGGGGGAACCTGACAGTGATCAAAGGCAGAGGTGCTATTGGATATTTTGGATATGCAAGTACGATAAGTCTCCTTGGGGAAGTATATTTACCCATGCTCTGTTGATAGAAGAAAATTCCCGAGGCTAGATACTTATAAAGGAGAGGAATCTGAAATTCCAAGGTTAGGTGGCCACAGGGACGTGGGCTCTGGTGAAGGCCCCGTGGTGGTGTCATGATGGCAGGCACATGAAGGACAAGCACACCTCACCTGGTGAGACTGCTGACCAGAGAGTGGAAGGGGCTCGTCTTGCTCTCTCTTACCAACCTACCTTCTAGGGAGCTAACTCCACCTACTCCACCTAATCCCTTGCATGGTGACATCCCTCTGTGACCTACCTACCTCACACTGACCCCATCTCTGAAAGGCTCCGCTTCATCAACCACATTACCCTGAAGGCCAGGCCTCTGAGAGATAAATCTGTAGGGGCAAACCACATCCAAACCATTGCAGAAACTGACATTTTAACCAAATTGAAAGAAATGGAAACTGAAGACATCTTGGAGGAGTGTATTCTAAACAGGAAACTGCAAGCCCAACAGCCTGAAGCTGGACTGTTGGGTTTTTTTTTAATTAATTTTTTTGGTACATTTTAGGTGTACAACATAATGACATTCATCATTGGAAATTTGCACCTTCACATAATCTCTCTTGGTTCTTATTTTCCCCCTTCCCCTGCCCTCCCGTCAACCCCTCCATCCCTCCCTATTTACAAAGATTTTGTTTCCATTTTCCATTTTCTCATATTAATTCCATTCCTTTCTTTCCTTTCCCCTGCCCCTCCCATTTTCCCTTCCCCTTTGCCCCTTTTCTTCCTATTTCACATTATCTTTTATACCTTTTAGTCCTTATTTACACTTT